TGGATGGATGGATGGATGGATGGATGGATGGATGGATGGATGGATGATGGATGGATGGATGGATGGATGGATGGATATTCAAGTGGCTGAGAGTTACACTGTGGAGATTTGTTATTTTTTTTCTGAGGCAGTGAAGAGTGGCGGATCGTGGCAAGCGGAGGGAGCCATTTTATCCACCACCAGTTGCAATCGAGGAGCCAGGGGGTGGCCAATGGTGGCCTTGGCCCCATAGATTAATCTTTGACCACCCCGTTCATTTGAAGAAACCATTCTTTTAAGCATTTTTAAAACTAGAAAGCACAGTTTCCTCAAATAATAGGGGCGGCCAATTTACATATTTACATGATGGGAGCCATCTTGGATTTTGATGTGGCAACCCAGTTTAAGAAACTTTCTTACACCTAGATGAAGCAACGCAAAAAACCAGAAGTTGGTATCTCACTTATTTTAAAAGTTTTCACAGCACGGCTGGTCGGGCTGCAGGCCAAGTCCCGCTCTCGCTCCGTAACGAGGCACCAAAAAGAAAAGTGCTGAATGACTTTGCCGAGACTTGTTGAAGAATAAACTGAAATGTTTCAATTAAAATGAGCAAAACTGTTTCTAACAGCTAAAATCAGCAAGACTTTTACTTTAAGCTAAAAATAACCAAACAGTAGCTGAACGCTAAAATCAACTAAACTGCTTCTAAAAGTTTAGTGACAACAAAGGTGGTATTTTATGAATTGATTAGTCTGACAGAGTTTGTGTTAATGATGTTTTTAACAACATACAACCAAAGAAAGACCTGCAGGAGTTGACTACACCGTTATTTCTTCAAACTTCTTCTGTTGCGTGATGTGTGAGCTGAGGTGAGAGCAGGGAACAGGTGGAAGAGAATCTGGAGAGGTGGAGGTATGCACTTGAAAGAAGAGGATTGAAAGTCAGCCGTAGTAAGACAGAGAGGGAGGAGGTGGAACAGTGAGGCTACAAGGAGCAGAGGTCACAAAGGTGCAGGACTTCAAGGACTTGGGCTCCACTGTCCAGGAACGTTTGATTTCTAATGTTCTTTAACTTTGGAGACAAATAACTTCAGATGAACGTTAAATTTAAACTGACAGCTCTGCATGAGGTAAGAAATGACCGAGCAGGAAAACAGCAGTCACACAAAGGAACTTATTCATGTAGGAAGTTGTTGTTGTGCAACAATTTAAGCTGTTTGCTTCAGTTTGGACAAGAAAAAAAGAAACACCATGGTTGAATTTAGACAAATCAAACTGTCTTTTTTCCTCGTTCTCATTCTCAGGTCTTCAGGTAAGAGTGGATTCATTTTATTGTTTTGTTTGTTCTTTGTAGAATTCACTCTTTCTCGTTTTTAGCTCTGTATTTAGTAAGATAGTCACACTTCCTGCTTTGCCTCTTTCTCTGTTATTCTCTTGTTTCTTTCACAGCAACAGCGCTTCAGTCCGTCTTTGTCAGAGAAGGAGGCAAAGTCACTTTAACTTGTAAGGCTGTGGTAGATCAGGTCAAATGTAACCGCACCACCTGGTCCTTCAGCCGTTACACCGGGTCCGCGGCTGAAGATCTGGTCAAACGTGGAAAGATTGTAAAACATCTGGCGCACGGAGCTAACTTGGACAAGATGACTTTAAAAGCAAACTGCTCTCTGCTGATCCAAAGGGCCACAGCTGAGAATGCTGGTCGTTATTTCTGCCTGCAGGAGAAGCAGAAACAGAACCAAGTGGATCTGTCCGTTGTTCAAAGTAAGTATTCGAAGGTTCGTCCCAAACTTTACAGCATGCAAGTTCTGAAAACGTCTGGACGTTGTTTAAAGTGTAAATAAAAACAGAACGATATGATTTGTAATTTTAATAAACACACATTTTGTTCCCAACACGGTCAACAAGATCATTTGAGAGCGGCTGAATCTGTCAGAAGTAACGATGGTTAGAGGTCCGGTCTGCAGAAACCGTGTCTAAAAGTATTTTCAAATAATTTTCCTCAGAAGACTTTGAACATCCTCATCCACAAATACTGATTAAAGCTCTATCACGCAAAGAGGAAGCCATATGGGACCTGCAGTCAGAAATGTTAAATAAAATTAAAAAAAAAACTTGCATTTAACTCCAAAAACTTAGAAAACTGTTCTGTGGTCAGATTAATTGAAATTTTAGTTATTTGTTTTAATGTACCGATGCCATGTCCTCATATTAAAGAGAAGCAGGACCATCCAGCCTGACATCAGCACATAGTTCAAAAGCCTGCCTCTCTGATGGTATAGGGGTGCACTAGTGTCTCTGGCACGAGCAACTTACACATATGGAAAGGCACCATGAAATACAACAAGATGCAGATAGTATTGCTATAAATATACAAATATATAGTTTTAGAACGCCATGGTGGAGCCAGGACTGTTGAACAGCAAGAAATCAACATTCTCCTCCAAAAGCTCCAACAGCTGGTCTCCTCTGTCCCCAGATGTTTACAGATGGTTGTCAGAAGAAGAGGGGGTGATTCACTCAGGGAACCCAGAACAACTGTTGCTGCCATAAAATTCAAAAATACCTTTTTTATTGTGCAATTTTTTTAGTTTGCCATTCGATACATTTACTATGATCCGTTATGAGGGGGAGTGGTGGCGCAGAGGTTAGAGAAGGTGGGCCTTTGATGGGAAGGCCGTCAGTTCAACTCCCTGGACTGACAACATCAAAATGTGGGTGGGAAAGGTGAAACACCCACCTGTCTCCACCCTCATAAGCCCCACTCTGGGTCCCTGAGCATGGCCCTGAACCCCCATCATCTGCTCCCCGGGCGCCCTAGATGCAGCTCCCTGCTCCACACAGAGGCTGCGGTAGCTCGGGGGTCTGTGGTTGCATCATGAAGGGCGTCCGGAGTCAAACTCATCCCCAAGTCTTCGTGGGAGTTAGTTCACTGTGGCGACCCCTGAAGAAAGAGCAGCCGAAAGAAGAACAGATAAACAAACTATGCTTCATTACAAATAAAACATATATATTTATTTAATTTGCAAACCTTTGTATTTTGTTTCTATTTACATTTTATCCACAGCTTTCCAACTATTTCCATAATTTATCTTATTTGAACTGCGGCTGTACCCGACTTGTTCTGTAACCTGTTGTCTTTGTTTTCCTCCAACAGTTTCTGAACACAAGAACGCTGACAGGGTGACGCTCACGTGTTCTGTTCTGACATATGGTCACGCCAATCTCAAAATAAACTGGCTTTTAAATAATCAAGAAATCGATAAGGCCAATAAAGAACTGGTGACACAAAAGTCCCATCGTTCTGCCAACGTGACCTTCTTAACGACTCATTTCGTTCGTCAACTGAATTATAAGTCCCTGAAGTGTAAAGTGGGGGGTGCAGAGCGGCGGTTCACCTTCGGGTCTCGAGCCTCAGGTGAGAGTATCAGCTGTTTATATGATTTTATCTGGACCAGATGCAAGTATCAATTAATGTTGATCATTTTCTCTCAAATAGGAAAAGAACACGCAACATCTGAAATCATCGACGCCACACCGGAATCATCTGGTAAGTTTCATTAAATATTTTTGAACATGTCTGTTTTTCCTTTACGTATTTTTGGAGTTAAATGCAAGGCTTTTTAAATTTAAATAACTTTTTTTTCATCAGTTGGGTTATTTGTACCACTAGGAATGAAAAAGGTTCATTGTTCTCTCTAAGTTTAGATGTTTTTGCCCCAGGTGATGTTAAATATCTGAGTCTTGTTCACGAGCGATGGCGAGATGTAGCAGAAAGTAGACTAAAGGATCAGCGTCGTGTCTGCTGTTTTGAGGGCGTTGCTCCGTTCAGTCGTGGTGAAGAAGGAGCTGAGACAAAAGTGAAGCTCTTGATTTTCTGATAAAAGTCCTAACCTCAAATGTGGTCATGAGGTGTGGATCATTACAGAACAAGTGTCTGAAATCAGCTTCCTCTGTGGAGCCGGGCTCAGCCTTAGAGATAGGGTGAGGATGGAGCTCCATCATCTGAGGGGAGAGTGGAGTAGAGCTGCTGCATCAGAAGGAGTCAGCCAAGGTGGTTTAGCCATCTGATTAGAATGCCTCTTAGGTGTGTCTGGAGTTTTTTCAGGTGTGTCCCATAGGAGGACACTCCCAGGCAGATCTGGAATTTGCTGTATCCTCACATTGAGATCCCTCCAGGAGAAGCTGTGTTGCAGGGAGAGGGATGTCTGAGTGGATGGATGGATGGATGGATGGATGGATGGATGGATGGATGGTGCTCTCCTCCACCTGCGTAATATCAGTAAAATTGAAACATCTGATCTAAAAATGAAGCAGAAAAACTGTTCCATGCATTTGTCACGTCTAGACTGGACTATTGCAATGGTTTATTATCTGGGTGTCCAAATACTTCTTTAAAACGTCTTCAGTTGATCCAAAATGCTGCTGCCAGAGTCTTAACTGGAGTTACTGGGAGTCTGGGAGAGATCATATCTCCAGTTTTAGTTTCTCTCCATTGGCTCCGTGTCAAATCCAGAATAGAATTCAAAATCCTACTTCTAACCTACAAAGCTCTCAACAACCTAGCTCCATCTCATATTACAGATCTTATTGCTCCATATTTTCCTAACAGAGCACTTCACTCTCAGACTGCAGGTTTACTCGTGGTTCCTAGAGTTTCTAAAAGCAGAACGGGAGGAACATCTTTCAGTTGTCAGGCTCCTCTCTTGTGGAACCAACTTCCAGTTTCAGTCCGTGAGGCTGACACATTGTCCAGTTTAAGACTGGGATTAAAACTTTCCTTTTTGATAAATCCTATAGTTAGGCGTAGCTTGGGTTTCATGCTATAGGCTTGGACTGCTGGAGGACGAATTGACCACATGTCCTCTCTCTGCTGCCCTCTTTACTTGCTCTACCTGTTTGTATTTGTAATTATTTCTATCTTAACATGTTTTTTTGTCCTTCCTCCTATAGAAAGTACACCTGGACTATAGAAACCACACCTGGACCGGTCATTCTGTGTTTGTTTGTGTCTACTTTCTGTTCCTTTCAAACCCAGCCGTTCGAAGCAGATGGCCACTCGTCCTGAGCCCGGTTCTGCTGGAGGTTTCTTCCTGTTTAAAGGGAGTTTTTTCTTTCCACTGTCTCCTTTGTGCTTGTTCAGGATGGGAGACTGTGATGAAGTGAAGACTCAACACAACCTGCTGCTTCCTCAGACAACGAAATTTTACTAATTGGCTTTTATAATGTATGGGATTTTTTTTTTCAGTGCCCTGAGCCGACTTCTGTTGTGACATAGACTTGAATGATGGTCTGAGTAAAACCTTGTGTCTTTTCAGTTTTCTTCTCTTTGATGTCCAGAAACATAAACCTGACACTGTTCGGGTCTTCCTTTAGGGTTATGGTGGTTGTACGTGATCGTGGCTGTTGGTGTGGCAGCCATCGCAGCTGTTGCGCTTCTTGTAAGACGGAGGAAAACTAACAAAGGGAAGAAGAACACGCAGATTGATGAAAACATGGTGAGTTTTTATTTTTTAATAAATACAAAATTAGACCCTTACCTATCAAACCAGTTCTTTGCTAGGTTAAAAAAAAAAAACTGGTGAGAAAACACTGGTTGTTTTTAAACCTTTATATTAATATAACAATTGTGAAATTTGGACAAAAGCGTGTTTATTTAAACTGATCAGAATATAAGTTACCACACAATTTATTAACAAATTAGCATCAGCAGGTTTCCTCAGCCTATCTAAGACATCTGAGGCTCCTTAAAACCTGATTTAATTTGGCCAGATGTGTTTGAGTGATCTAATCAATCTGTTAATCATTAAAGAGTCGGATCAATACATCAGAAATTACAATAGCAGGACTTTAAAAAAAATTTTTTTTTACATTTTGGCCTTATTTTTTAACTTTTAAACTTTTGAAAGTTGATCAAATCTTTCCAAAATACTGTTGTTTTATTTACTTGTACAATATGAACAGGAGCAGTAAACCTGGAGATGTGTTGATGTGTGGCACATTCAAACCTGACAGAACCTAAAATAAACTTCTTTTATTCCTTTTCCTGGGGAAGAACTCATCAGTAACTCCAGAAACAAGTGAAAACACAGAATTCAAACATAAATCCATTAACTTGTATGACAAACACATTAACAAATAAATCAACTTATAGTAATACAGTATTTATTAATGTCAAAAGCATCCTGAATGAAGCCATAGCAGGACTAAAAGAGATTTGATCTGATAAGATAAAGAGGTGAACAAAAGAGTAAAAAAAAAAAAAATAAATCCTAAGACTCAGTATTTGTATCCATACATTGTTGAACAGTAAGTTTTCTTCACCGTGTAGGAAGATACTGATGTTAACATTTCCTACGCCTCCATTGGTCACTCTGGGGAAACCAACCATCAGGTACGTCCTCACGTGTTCATGTCAAATTAAAGTTATGGAGGGAAAATATTTTGAATATTAAATCTTGTGTAAATGTGATTTTTGATGCTGCAGTTTTGTGTTTCTGTTC